AAGGGATTTGAGAGGAGAGATCCTGCTCATACAAAGTGACAAGCTATGAGGGAGACCTTAGCATCCCCGGGAAGGGTTAGCGTCTGATGTGGCAGCAACAGGGGTGTGTCGAAGACTGTCTGGAGATGTGGTGGAGACACAGGCAGGGCCGGCTTTGAAGAGCTAGGTGCCGTGCGAGGGAGTGCGGACTGCCTCACCATGAGTTGTTCTAAGACATTCTCATGTGGGAAAGTGGTCTGTGGTTTTGAAAGACAGCTAAAGCAGCAACACAGAAGACCTACAGAGTTAAGGAGAGGCAGAAGGCAGTCAGATAGCTGCTGAAATTGGCCAGACAAGGGAGGAGCATCTGAACTGGGACGAGACACCACAGAGAAGGAGTGAGAGGAGAGGGTAGCTGGGAGAAACACTGATCCTACCTCAACGTGACTCTGTGAGGGACCAGCCATGGCTGCGGGTGGGGAAGTGAAGCAAAAGAACACTTGGGATGGCCCCAGGTTTCTGTTATGCTTAACCAAGAGGAAGCACAGAGATGAACAGAATGAGAGGCTGGAGTGCGGGGAGATGACGAGTCTCAGTTTTAGACGTGTAGAATTCGCGTTTCCTCTAGGACATCCAGAAAGAGATGTCTAATAGACAGTGAGACACACAGAACAGAGAATCAGACATGGGTGCACGGGTTGCTGTGGGAGTGTGAGGAGCGGTCCGATGCCCCAGCAACTGCAGAGGAAGTAAGTTAGGAGCTGGGTGCAGGGCAAAGCTCAAGGATTGGCAGGTGAGGAGGATCCAGGGGGGTTTGATACAGAAAGCCAAGGGAGGAGGGCCCTCTGCGGGGATGGAAAACCACCCAATGCTGCAGAGACATCCGAGAGGAGGAGGTCACCTGATTTCCCAATCCCGCAGCTGCTGGTGAGCTCAGTGACCTTTGTTTCAGGAGAATGGGACAGTGGAAGCAGGACTGAAGTGTGTAGAGACATGGAGGCAGCACATGGGGAGCAATCCTCGAGAAACCGGGCCCAGGGTAATCCGGGAAAGCGGTGTGGATGGCAGGGTATAGGAAAGGTTCTAGAGAACGGGGAGACCTTTGTTTACTTAATAAATGCTTACGGCATACATGTTCTGTACCAGGCACTATACTAAGCTTCTTACAAATATTAACTCATTTACTCCTTGGCGTGGTTGATTTTTTTTAAAAAATATATTTTATTGATTTTTCACAGAGAGGAAGGGAGAGAGATAGAGAGTTAGAAACATTGATGAGAGAGAAACATCGATCAGCTGCCTCCTGCACCTCTCCCACTGAGGATGTGCCCGGAACCCAGGTACATGCCCTTGACCGGAATCGAACCTGGGACCTTTCAGTCCACAGGCCGACACTCTATCCACTGATTGGCGTGGTTGATTTTATTTGTCAACTTGGCTAGGTCAGTTCCCAGATATCAATTCAAATATGTCTACATGTTGCTGTGAAGGTATTTAAAATGAGGATAACTTTTAAATCAGTAGACTTGGGGCCCAGCCAGAGTGGCTCAGTTGGTTGAGCATCATCCATGCACCAAAGGGTTGCTGGTTCAATTCCCAGTCAGGGTACATACCTGGGTTGCAGGTTTGATCCTAGTGGGGGAGCAAATGAAAGGCAGCTGATAGATGTCTTCTCGCCCCTCCCCCCACCTTCCCTCAGTCTAAGCATGTCCTTGGGTGAAGATTAAAAAAACACACCAAAAAACCCTTGGATTATTTTCTAATGAACTTAAAAAAAAACCCTTAAAACATAATAATAAATAAGTAGACTGGGTAAAGCATATAATGTAGGTGGGCCTCATCTAATCAGTTGAAGGCCTTAAAAAAAAAAAAGACTGACCTTCCACAGGGAGGAGGAACTTTTGCCAGCAGACTACGTTTGGGCTCAAACTGCAACACCAGCTGTTCTCTGAATCCCCAACCTCCTGGCCCACCCTGCAGATTCTGGACTTGGCAGCTTCTACAACTGCATTAGTAAATTCCTTAAAATCTCTCTCTCTCTCTCTCTCTACACACACACACACACACACACACACACTACTGTTTCTGTGGGGAATTCTGACTAACGCATCCTTTGTAACAACAGTAGGTACTATTATAATCCCCATTTACAGTTGAGGAAACTATGGCAGAGACAGGTTAAGTAACTTGGCCAGGGCAGCACAGCAAGAGGGTAGCAGAGCTGGATTCCAATACAGTGTGCCCCCAGAGAACCTGCCCTTAATCACATGCTGTGCTGTTGTCCAGAGCACTGACCGAGTAGTGTTGGGGCCCACTGGGAAGGCCAGTAGAGAGAGACAGAACATACAAGCAATGAGAATCTACAAATGCAGTCTGGTACAAATGAGAAAACAGGCACAAGGGATCTGCCCAAAGTGGGACACAAAGTGGTTCAAGTAGTAGAACCCAGGTTTTCAGGATACAACATGCAGCTTTCCCCTTTCTCCTTTCACTCCATTCATCTATCCACGTCCTGTCCTCCCACCTGGATTCCCCTGCTCTTCAGAGACTCTCTCAGTTGCACTCCCCTCACGTTGCTTTCTGCTGGAGGCCCAGGAATCTTTATGTTCTGACCGTGACCACATGCCTCAAATAACCACTAAGCTGTAGACAACACACGCCAGCCAACGACAAAGTGCCCTTCTTACTGAGTGCAGCCCAATAACCCATCTAACAATGTTAAGTTCCGTATATCTGGTAAAATGGTGCATCTCACACGAATAATTATAGAGTCTGTTAGTAATTATTTGGAAAATAAAACAAAACAAAACCCCTCCCCACAAAACCCAGGAAGCTCAATGGGCATTTGGTTCCAAATACACATTTCTATGAATTAACTACTCAAGGAATTAGGTGTCTTTGAAAATACAGCCGATATATAAAGTCTCACAATAATCTGAATTGGGTTATTTGAAAACTAGCCTTTTCAAGCTTGACTTTTTGGGGACTGGGAATCACAGGGGTATAGGAATCAATGTGTCATCAGAACCTCAAGCACAAGCACCTACTCCCACCTCATTATTTTGAAGTCAGTTATAAAACTTCCTGAAGAAAAATTAGAAAATATGTATTAAAGCTTTAGAATTTGTACATTTTAACCCAGCAG